AAGATTCTGCTCGTCCAATTCCGAGTGAGCTGGTTCACGCGCTAGAAGACACTGAAGTTTAGTGATTCGTCCATCGTTACCGAGTCGTAGAAACGATTTTCTCCTTTTGGAAAAATTGGATTTCGGCGATATTCGTTGTTTTCTTTCAAAAAAAAAAAAAAAGAATTGAAAGGAATTCAGAGGAAATAAAATAGACACGTTTCTTTCTCCCGAATCTTTCAATTACAATCTCCTTTCTGCTAAAAAATTTATAATAAATATTCTCGAACAAGAACGATCGTCGAATATTAATTTAATACTTTCGAATAAAATATGCAAACACTTTCTTAAAAATATTCTTTTCTCCTCTTCTCCGTGCAATTTCTTATGTACTATGCTATATACCTTAATACGAGGAATCAATATTTAATAAATGCAAAGCAAATTGCAAAATCGTTTCGAAGAACTACAGTAACAATGAATCGTCCACGAACGAATAACATTCGCAACTATATATATATATATATATCAATAATTATATCAAAGGATTAACGTATCTCTTGGAAACGCGACGATGAGTACGAGAAATCCGAGTCGAAAAACCACCTGTTTCGTATCGATCGATCATCTCGTATCATCGTATCGAGCATTTCGTATCATTATCATTCTGTGAATGATAAAAAAAAAAAAAAAAAAAAAAAAAAAAAAAAGAAACGTACACCTGTGTACCTCGTGTGTATATATACCTCTATGTATATGGATGTACATTTTTATGCTGTCTTGCTTTCGCGCGTTCCGAGGATGAACGCTCAAAAAAAAAGTGAATTGTTTTTCTTTTGGGCGGCCATCCGAGGTCGAGGAACGAAGAAAAGGCAAGAGGCGTAAAGTATACACGTTATATATTTATATATATATATTTTTTTAAGTAACTTTCTGGCCGTCTTAATCATCGACGAGTGCGATGCTCGCTGATTGTTTGAAAAACGGACGCGGGAAAAATGGTCGAGATCGGTAATCGTCCTCGTTGCAAGGAGGACGCTTCCATTCTTCGATGATTCCCGGCCCCCGTGTGTGCTTTCAACCGCGACAAACGATAGTTTCAAACCCGTGAAAAAATAAACCGTTCTCTCTCTTCGATTCGATTCTTTCCATTATTGCTCTCTCTCTCTCTCTCTCTCTCTTTTCTCCGTTAGAAAAATATAAGTTTCCTCTTTCGAGACCCATGCCAACGCTCTTAAGTCGAAGAATATTTTTTCTCGCGAAAATTCGTGAAGATTCCTTCGTGGAAGATGAGGAAGATTTGGAGGGTTGCATCGGATGTCGTCGAACGCGAGACGAACGGGCAGTGTTTCGAACTTTCGAAGTTCGTTCCTCCGTCAGACGTCAGAGCCTCTTTATTTATTTATTATTATTAATTATTTCGTAAGCAAATTTATAATAACGAATCTTCTTCCTCTTCGGGAATCTTTAAACAGATCGTGAGTATATATCATCGACTTGTCAATCAACATTTCGATCGATTTTGCAAAAATAACTCTTTCAAAATCTCTCTGTTGATCTACGTTCTTTAATCATACTTTTCAAGTATCATTTCCAATGTGTTACTCCATCAAAATTTCCCATTCTTTCTCAAAGTTTCAAATTACCAGAAAACCATAAAGCAAAATTTCTCTTCTCGCTCCCTTCCTTTTCTGAATATCCCTTAAACTATCCGTTTGCCGCGATTCGAATCTGCAATCTTGAGACTCGAGAAATTCGAGAGAACCCGAATTTAAAACAATATCTCACGCATATATAACATACACATCTCTCTCTCTCTCTCTCTCTCTCTCTCTTGCGCACATTCGTTGCAAAGCCTATACAATTACACCCCCTTCCCAATTACCGCTATATATATAACTCTGCTCCCTACGCCTCGTATAGAATATGACTTTCTTTTTTTTTTTTCTTTTTCTTCTTTTCTCCATTGAAAATCTCTTCCTCTTATTTTTCTTTTCTATGTACACGCTAGTTTTTTTTTTTTTTTATATCGATTGCTACGTTCGTTCTCTAAACTAAACGCGCGCGAGTCGTCTCGCGCGCCGCTTTTTCGCTTTTCCCCTTTAACCGGAAACCGCGATCGCCTCAACCCCTTCGTCGACGATACACGTTCAAGCAAAGGAGGACGTCTTTGAGATTTTGAACGAGCAATACAGCGATCCCTAGAAGACGATCCACGTGTGTGTGTATGTGTGTGTGGATCGCGATAAATCGCAGTAATCGGCGATAATTGCTACATTCGTCTTCTAATTGGGATACGAGATCTCGAGAAACATAGGGATCAATGGAATCGCGATTAGCAGATAATTAAGTGGCTAATTAGACTGCGGACTTTCATGGATGTTCGATTCCTTTATTTAATCGAATCGTAACAAAGTTTCGTTTTTAATCCTTACTTTTTACAATAATTTAGAGTCTCTAATTATATATTATTTAATGAAATCGTTATGGCGGATATTCTTTTGGAAGCGAATAATGTCTATCGTTTAATTCATTCAATTGAATCAAGATCGTTGAAATTAAGACAAATATTCAGAAACATTGAGCCTTTTCGACAATGATATAGAAATGAATTAAAAAAAATAGATATTTTCTCTACTCTTTTTCGAGTAAATTTTTACGATCAAATTTTCCTTTTTACACAAAAATTCCATGCGATTTATAGATCGTAATGCGAGCATAATTTCTGTACATTATAAAAATCCGCAGTCTATTAATTATGCAAGATTCGATACTGAAATCTGAACGCATTGCAATATCTCGCTGCTATTTAAATATCGTTCGACGTTGTTACGATTTCATACGACTCGAGTGTACGATTCGAATGGCTCTTTATATTTTAAATTGTTTTACGCAATTTATACATATTTTTTGTTTTAAATGTACAATGAAGAAACGATATTGCTATCGGAAATATAAAAATATCGAATCGTACAATGTCGATTTGATGACAAATCGGAACGACATCGTATTATCAATAATTCAGAAGAGGGGATGATAAGAATCGATCTCGGTACATTTTCTTTTTCTCTCTCTTTCTTAGAATCCCAATAACGCCACGTTTACCACTTTGCATTGAACGCGTAAACGTCGACAGGACGGAGAGACACGCGTTTCTCGATTCGTTTAGCACATACAAGGAAAAAATAAAAGATCCGCGCGCATAAACACTGGAAACTACAGGGGGCTGCACGTTGATCCCGGCATGGCTGAAAGACCTTTCGCGACGAACTCGTTGGAGGTGACGCTGTGTTGAACGCGAGAATCGATGCAACGGTGATTGCAAATATTACGTCATTTAACGAGATCATCCCATAAGTAACGATGTTTCTTGGAAACTTTATGAAAGATAAATAGAAAATTCGATTAAAAATTGTGAATTCGATTAACAATTGAAACGTTCGTCATTGTAATAATAAGAAACTCGTGTTGTGAGAAAAATCGTGTGTGTAAATACTTATGAGATGAGCTAATATATATATATATATAT